AGAACTGAGGTTAAAAGCACCACCCTCTCCTGGGGCCCAAACACAATCTTTCTGGAAATACCCAGGTAGTCGGGGTAAGGACGATGTGTGTTCTGCCCTCTGCAGGCGCACAGTAGCCAGGGCGCCCGGAGACATGGGATAGCCGGGCAGCCTCTGTCTGCTCTTCAGGCACTGTGTTTGCAGTTCTCCCTGTCAGTTCGGTTCCAGAGCCTATTATGGGGCCCCGTGTCCTGGTGCTGGTGGCTGAGGCCCGGCTCCCGACTTTGAGAGCTTGTGGTTTAGTGGCACTGACATTTCTGTCAACCTGATCCTGCTTAGTGGGAGTTTATATGCTGGTCATTCTGTGAGCACCTGTGTGAACAGCACAGCCACACAGCCAGTGGTGGTGGTGGGGGAGGGGGGGGCAGGACAGGTTGTTCTGGACTTGCTGCTCTGAGTTCTGTGCGTGAGGAGGGCCGAGACCACAGGGCAGCTGTGGCGTTCTAGGAACATCTGCTGTGCCTTTTCTTTAGCCCGAAGTTAGAGAAACCTGGCTAGTAACTAGTGTGCGCTAGGAATCAAATGAATAAGGTATTTTGGTAACTTCTTACTAGGAAGCAATTGTACATTTACAGGAAATTTGCCACGAAGATACAGGGAATTCCTGCTTAGCCTTCACCTAGATTCCCAGTTGTTATCATTCCCTGTGTTGATATTTTCTTTTTTTCTGAACCACGTGAAAGTGAGTTGAAGAAAAGATGCCCCTCTGCTTCTATGTGCTTCACCATGTGTTTACTGGTGTTGAAGGGCTGATGCACCTAATATCAAATAGACCACTGCATGCCCTGCCTGGTCAGATGAAGTCGTGGGGGTGTTCATGTTTATAGAGCCAGAAAGCGGTGGGTTGCCCCAGTGTGGGAGACAGATTCTGGCAGACGGCAGGGGCTTCGTTGCTGTGCCTTGAGTAATGGTTTATACCAACAAAGTAAGATGGGCCCAACGGTACCCTTGAGATGAAAGCCTAGGAGTAGTTTGTATGCAATAAACTAGTTTGTATTTTTTTTCTTTGTATTTTGTTTGTTTTTTTTAGGTTTGTACAAATGTTTTTTTCACTATTATTTTTCTTTTCCATCCATTTGTAATAATCCATTTAAATTGGGCCTGGTGAGGGGCACCTGGGTGGCCCAGTTGGTTAAGTGTCCGACTTCGGCTCAGGTCATGATCTCACGGTTCGTGAGTTTAAGCCCCACATCAGGCTCTGTGCTGATAGCTCAGAGCCTGGAGCCTGCTTCAGATTCTGTGTCTCCCTCTCTCTCTCTGCGCCTCCCCTGCTCACACTTCCTCTCTGTCTCTCAAAACTAAATAAACATTTAAAAAAAAAATAAATTGGGCTTGGTGAGGCACTAGTGCTGGGGTCACAGAGGGGCCGTCCAGCACTGCCCTTCCCTGTGCTGGTCATCTCGAGCTTAGGTCTGGACCCTGCAGTTGAAATATATTCCTTGTGTTAGAGAGGTAATGAGAAGAGAGAAGCATCCCAAAACAGTATCTTTTTGTTTATTTTTTTAAATAATTTTTTTAACGTTTGTTTATTCTTTTTTTTTTTAATGTTTTATTTATTTCTAGGAGAGAGAGAGAGAGAGAGAGAGACAGCGTGAGCAGGGGAGGGTCAGAGAGAGAGGGAGTCACAGACTGAAACAGGCTCCAGGCTCTGAGCTGGCAGTCAGCACAGAGCCCGACGCGGGGCTCGAACCCACGAACCGCGAGATCATGACCTAAGCGAAAGCCGGACGCTTAACCGACTAAGCCACCCAGGCGCCCCTAATGTTTGTTTATTCTTGAAAGAGAGAGAGACAGAGAGAGAGAGAGACAGCTTGAGTGGGGACAGGCAGAGAGATGGGGGACAGAATCCGAAGTAGGCTTCAGGTTCTGAGCTGTCAGCACAGAGTCCAACATGTGGCTTGAACTCACGAACCGTGAGATCTTGACCTGAGCGAAGTTGGATGCTTAACCAACTGAGCCACCGAGGCACCCCCTGAAACAGTATCTTATATGGAGGATGAAAGGAAGTAGAAAAAGAGAACTTCTAGTGGGTTCAGAGTAGCCCCAGAAGCACTGGAGGGCTTTGGTGTGCATGGGGATGCCCTTATTCTGTGCAGCCCAGAGGGCACAGCTGAGTGTGCTCGGTGGACAGTGCAGGCAGACACAGTTTTGCTCTCTGTAAGTAGAGCAAGTAGAGTGATTGTCCCCCTTGGGGATAAGGAATTTCCTGCCACTGAACGAGAGTAGGCCGAGCGGGCCATGACTTGACAGGTGCCAGCCTTACCTCTCCTCTCCTCAACTCACTGTGTTTTTGCCTTTGATGACAGGGCTGGCGTGGTCATCTGAGGCCTGTGGGCTGGGGGAGGGCAGGTAGGTATGTCTGTGGGGAGTAGGAGATTGCACTTGCCCGGTGTGTGGGGTGAGGCCAGGTCTAGCAAGGAGGCCTGCGCTCTGGTGTGGTTGGTGTTTAACTGGTTTAGGCCTACTGCCTGATTTGTCTTCAGGATAGGTCTTTCCGATTCTGGGCATGTGACCGTGTTTGGTTTTTGTAGTTGGAGTACACCCCAGTTATTATTGGTTCTGTAGAAAGGGGCCAAAATGTCTCTTCAACATCAAATTGAAAGTCCTACATTTGTGTGTAAATGCACGTATCGTGTGTGTGATATCTAAATATAAATATATAGAAATGTAGTCCCAGGATTATCTCTGGGAAGTGACTGGAATTGGTAGAGAGGGTGGTACTGAAGGAGAAATTAAGTATTTTAAATACTTTGGTATTATCTGTATTTTAAAAAAATAAAAAAAATCCACAAAACAAAAAAACAAACCAACTTTATAGGTAGAACAGTGGATTAGTGCTCGGACCCCCTGGAGGGCTTGTGAAGTAGATTACTGTCCCCTCCCAACAAGCTCCCAGGTGTGAGGCAGCGCGGGAGGGGGAGAGAGCTGGAGGGGACCTGAATGACCCGAGTCTGCATTTGCGGCCGCTGCTGGGAAGAGCATTACAGATTAGAACCGTCTTCTCTCCCTACCACCTCGCTCTCTTCTCCCAGGCATCTCTCCGCTGTGAGATGGGTGTGAGGCGCACATGACCTCCAGGCATTTCAGTCACGTCCGTGCCCGTGTGTTTTCTCTTTTTAGCCAGGAAGACCAACAAACAGGTGTTTGTCAGCTATAACCTTCAAAACACGGACAGTAACTTCGCATTACTTGTAGAAAACAGGATCAAGGAAGAAATGGAGGCTTTTCCGGAAAAGTTCTAGGCAGAGTGGGAGGAGTGAGGATTTGTAACTTATGTACAATGTACATTTAAATAAATGGATTGAATTTCACTGTTTGTCATTAGGTTCGTGTGTTGATGTTTTGTTTTTAAAGGGTTAATCTTCCTGACTTTCCTTCTTCCCCTCACCAGCCTGTGGGCCAAAGGCCACAATTGATCAGCCTGGGGGAGGAGAAGAGCAAAACGGGCAGCCAGGGTTCCCCTTGTGACCGCTCAGTACTAGGGAACTGGGGGAAAAAGTGGGATTTTGTACCTCCTCTCAGAAGGAGGTAAATTAGGCATAACCCTGCTGTGTACATTCCCAGTTAGAATTAAGGTGATAAGTCTTTACGCTTCACATTATGTCCTTCCTGTCTCGTTCCTGCTGAGCCTCTTCCTGGCACAACTCCTCTTGCCGTGTTCTCCCTTGGGCCTGGGTTCGAGCCCCGCTCCACACTGCTCATTGGATTTATAGATGGAGTGACGTTCTAATTTCTCTGGGCCCTGTTTCCTTGCCTATAAATTAAGAATATTCTCTGTCTTGACTGGGTTCTTGTTAGGATTAGATACACATAATGCTTCGCAAACTCTGTTTTGCAGACTGTGTAAAGTGCCCTGGCAATTCAGATGTCAGTTCTCGTATTTATCCACTTCATTTTTATGGATCCAAATGCTTTAGCTTCTCCTTGCCCTTGCTGTCACTGTATTTCTCTTCTCCCAAGTGCTAAGTTCCTGCTTTGGCCACCTTCGATCTGCAGCCCTTTCCTGCCTGCCATATGTAGTGGATCCCGGTCTTTCTAGTTTCACACATTTTCTTTCTCGCTCTTTTCCAAAAGCCAGTATTTCATGGGTCAGTGGCTCCTGACCCCAGCTTCACATTTGAATCCCTGGGGGTAGCCTTCACAGATTGCCCGGGCCTGCCCCTTCCCCAGAGGTTCAGATGGTCTGGGGCCCAGGTTTTGGTGTTGTTGAAAAGCTCCCCACAATGCTGCTCAGCAGAGGCAGGGCTGAGGACCACTGGCAAAGAATTGTCTAGTCTTCAGGGCCCCTCTGGACCCCTTTTGTTGCTAGAGGCAGATAGTTGAGGGCCCTGTAACATGTTTCGCGTAGTGGCAAGAGTCTCATATTGAGCTAGTGGTAGGCAACCAGGGGCCAGGACATAAAGGCACTTGAGAGGAGCCGATCTGGGGTTTAAGACACTTGCCTCCTTTGCAGACTTCCTGTGCTAACGTCCAAGGCCCCGGCCACACAGTCGTAGGTTGGAAGCATGGTGGGCCCCTCTCTAAGAAGAGTAAGTAACACAAAATCAGGGATATGGAGAGAAGAGTTTGGTATAAATACTTTATTAAAGAAATAGTGTTTTCTTGTTAAAAAATACTACATTAAAGAAAAGGGTTTTGGGTTATCAGTCTTTCCTCCCAGAATCACAGTGTAAGAGAGTCATTTCTTGACCTGTCTAGGAACCGGCAGGCCACGGAATAGCAGGGCGTCGACACACAAGAGACAAGAACGCTTCCATTTCCTGAAGCTGTCCCCCCCCCCCCATTTCTCAGGTGGTCTGAGAATGTCACTAAGTGAACAGTTTGTGTTTAAATCCAATCTCTGGCTCTGTCTGCCTTTAAGACTAGGACCCTGCAAGCGAGATCAGAGGCCACCCGCTGTCCCCTCAGGGTGAGAGCAAAGACTCGGTTTACAGAGGCGCTAAAGTAGGGACAGTGAGAGCTGCATCAACAGGTAGAGTTTTTATTACTTTGTAGTCAATGGTCGTGAAATGCCCTTCATTGGATACCATCAGATGAGGTAGGGAAGACATTCCAGTGGAAATTTGTTAATGGGGCAACATTTTTATTTCTGTACATTTACATACAAATTTTCCCCAAAAGTACAACAGATGTGACATCATGCAGACGTTTAGCTTTGAACGACAGTTCAGAACCCGATTTAGGCTTGTGCTATGAATGAGCACCTCCAGAGTAATCCCGGTCGACATGTACAGTAACACGGTTCTTACAGAGAAACCTCAAATGTTGGGGTTGCAGGAAGGACAGAGGGAGGGAAGTATTCCCTACTAGACATAACACACTGTACTGCTTTTCCAAAACACACAATACATTAAAGTGAGGTGTCCTTTTAAAGAGTTGAAGTGTGGGCTCCCCCAGCATGTGCGTGCGCTTGCGCGCCACCTAGGGGCTGGGCGATGCGATGGTCACACGGTTCATTTAATGGCACTTCAGTCATTTCTTGTTTGGCTCTAGGAAGTGGTACTGTTTGAGTGCAATTACTTCCTTTACGAGGTTTATTTTTGCTCTCTTTCTGTTCTGTGGCCAAACCAACTTACCAGCCCCTTTCCCCTCGTTGAAAGTGATTATACTCTTTTAGAAAACAAAGCGTTTAAAACTGTTTCCTATTTGTCTTGGGTGCTAATGTTTCGTGTATGTGGTGTTCCTGTTGACTTCTGGAAAAGAACAAAATGAAGAAGTATCCAGCCCTGTCTCAAGTGTTCACATTTGTGCATATCTTTTATTGGAAGGGGATCACAGCTCCCTGATAGGATCGCGGGGTGCACGAGTGGGTGGAGGAGGAGGAGAGCTGGAGCACGTACCTTGGGATGTCTCCCCGGGCGGTGGAGGGGTGGAGGTGGGGGGGAAGGCGGACTTGAATAGCAGGTGCCTGAGAAGTGTTTCCTCACTAACCATGAAGGAAACAGGACCGAGGAGTCCAAGCACTACTGACAGGTGCCAGGGACATGGTGGCCGCAGCCCCCACCCTTGCAGAGATGGACCCCACCGCGGTGAGCCCCAGCTGCCTTGCTCACTTGGTCCTGGACTTCCCAGAGCTCAGCCCACACGGAAGCTTTTCTGCTTTGGCTCCGTTTCATAAAGGCATTCCTCAAGGGCTTCGGCTGTCCCTAAGCTGAACCAGCAACAGGACAGGAGCTCAGCCCATCCCTGAGGCTGCTGGAAGAGCCTCTTTGCCGAGACCTCACTGACTGTTGGCAAGTCAGCCTCGTTCACATCTGCTAGACTTTGGTCCCAAGAGCCCAGTCCTCATGCTAGCTTCTCCTAGTCGTTGATGAGTTAGTCCCGATCGCTGAAGTGACAGTGCTGACCGCTGTCTCTCTTGGACTAGTTTTTATAGTTGTCATGTCAGACAGAGATCAGAGACCGAGGAACGGGACTTTGTCTCTGCTGTGCCTCGCCTCTGCCTTCCTAGATAGGGATTACTGGCAGCACTCGACAGCTTCAGTACGTTTCTTACAGAAGGGCTATGGACCACCGTGAGCACGCTCAAGTCCTGCAGGACAGCAAAGGGGCTGTCCCAGCGCTGCAGCTGCCCGGGGCTGGGGTGAGGGATGCAGACATGTACCCGGCCAGGTGTGGTCCCAGGGACCTCGCTGGCTCCTTCCTGCCTCCCCAGCTGCCCGGTGGCCTTGTAGCAAGTACTCTAAAAAAGGCAAAAGGTATTTCACAAGTTTGGCACGTGAAGGCTACACAGATATAAAGAAAGTTCTTTTTAAATTAAGGTAAATGCAGACTAACATTGAAACATGGAACAAAAGTGACTTAACAGACAAGAAGGAAGGCCTGGGTGAGCTGGGCTCAGAGCAGGGGAGAGACTGCCAGGCGGCCTTCCTTCCTATGCAGCCTTCCATCCCAGGCAGCCTCCTTCCCAGGTGGCCACCTTAGCAGGTGGCCTCCATCCCAGATGGCCTTCCTTCACAGGCGGCCTCCTTCGCAGGCAGGCTGGACACCCCAGGCACTGGTGATGAGACAGACACAGTGTAGTTTACTCCCTGGAGTCATGCATGCCTGCAAGTTTGCTCACCTCCTCACAATGTCTTTATCACTTCAGAGGGCTCCTACTGGGGTCTAGCAGTTTTGGAGGAGAGAGGTGAGTGGACTGAGAACAGGGCAGGTAGAAAGTCTGAAGGGGAGAAGGGGAAGTTATATCAACCTCTTTTCTGGCCCTTTTGAGTTCTAGCAGCTGTCAGCTGGAAGTCACCTAATTGCCTCACAGACTTGAGGCCGCAGGTTCCCTGGAAGAACACAGCTCACAGCAAAGACACATGTCACAGAGTGCAGAGGTGGACAATTCTAGAAAGAATCCAGGCTGTCCAAAAATTCGGGTGCCTGTGTTGCTACAAGGCAGTGCCTGCCTGCACCAATGTTGTTTCTTAGTGGCCCCCTGGGTGTCCTTGAGGAGGCCCTCCAAGGTTTCTCTGAAGCGCCCCCTGACAGGCAGAGAAAGCCTGACTTGGAAAAGCAGGAAGAAGCCTTCACTTTCTGGGACAAAATGAGGAACACAACAAAAACCCTTGGCTATCGGGGATGGGTGTTGAACTTTGGTGAGTTATTGCTTTCTCTCCACTGGTCTTGCCGCTTTAAGAGGCTGGAGGTCAGGTGGACTCACCTGTGAGATTCCCACTCCCCGCCCTAAACCCCCCTGTGTGCTGACGGAAGTGACAGGAAGCAGGAAGCAGGCAGAGGCGGGCTGGAGGGGGCACGGCTCCCACAGGCTTCGCAGTCTCTCAGCGTGAGGTCAGGGAGAGCTGACAGTCTTCCGGGCTGGTGATCTCTACGCGGCGGTGTGTGCTCAGATGTGGGTGGGAGCACCCCTTGCTCCTGTGGGTTTGCCTCAGTCGTCTGTTTCAGTTATGTGTCTATTGGTTTTGAGTTCGAGAGTAGCTGTGTTTTCAAGTTGTGCTGGCCAAGAAGCTGAGCGTGGACGGGGGCACTTTCCTGCTGGAGCCAAACCCGGGAAGGATTATCGATCGTGTTAATGTCTCCACACCGCTGCTCGTCATGAGCTCCGCCAGGCAAGCCTGCGTCAGCAAACTGTGGCCGTAGTACTACTCGCTGTTTAGGATTTCTGGTGAAACGTCTACACTTTCCCCCAGAGAGTTTCCAGCGTCAAGTACGAAAGGATGGTCCTGAAGGAAAGACTAAGCTGGTTTTAATGGTATCTGGGAGCTGCTTTCCCCCAACACATGGAACAGAAGCTCTTACCTCACAGACACACACACACACACACACACAAAAACCCTTTAAAAACCATACACAGACTCTCTAGCAAAAACCTAATCATTTACATTTCACTCTGTCTACAGTGCGGTCATGGAGATACTCCATGACCGGTCAGTCTGTTCACAGGCAGGCGGCCTTGGGGGGCGCGGCCCAGAGTGAGCGACCCCTGGCTCCTCTGCGGGGTGCTGGGCAAGGATGGCGTGTAACCTCCAGGACCGCTGCGCTGGCTGCCTACAGCGTCCTCCTCATTGGCCGTGTCCCTCTTCCAAAGGAGGTGGTTCCGTTTCGAGATCAGAGGAAAGGGAATAAAGTGCTTCTCGTAAAAATGACCAAAATAAATACAAACATCTCATGGCAGAAAAGAAAGTCCAAAGGGTTATTTCCAAAGAGTCTGCTTCCTCCAAACACGGTCCTTAGAGTCTTGCAAAGACAGAGTTGCCCCACACCAGTTGACAGTCTTACCGTCCGTGGCGTCAGCAGCAGAATTGGGTTTCCCTGCCCCCAGCCACGTGTTCGGTCCCTGGTCTATAAACCTGTGCCCGAACAGCCCCCAAACCCTTGGAGCCCCCAGTGCCCCCTTCAGGGAAGGCCGTGCCCAGAGCTACTTCATGCCATTGGCTGTGGCGTTCTCAGGCAGCCCATCCCCTGCAGTGGCCGCATCGTGGAGGCCAGAGTAGTCCTTGAGCTCGGCATTGGTGAGCAGGAGGGGCTGCTCCCCCTTCTTGTGCGGCAGGAGCGGCTGCCGAGTGTAGTGCTCCCCGTTGGAGATGTTCTCAGGCAGGTTCTGGTTCCTACTCTCTGGCAGCAGGAGGATGCAGATGATGCAGATGAGCGTGCAGCAGGCAAAAATGATGTGGTGCAGGAAGTAGCCTTTCTGGTTGTGCAGATCGATGATGGGCGCCGTCAGCATGCCGAAGCCCGCGCTGGCCAGCACCAGCCCCAGCCCGCCGCACCTGCAGGAAGGCACGAGCACACACGGTCAGTGTCTGCGGTTAGACGCTGCCCCGATGAAGGGCACGGCACTCCCAGAGGCGGGGGTGGGGGTAGGGGGGGACACGCTTGGGCAGGATCACGGGGCAAGTTCATGGCCCCCGCCCCCCGCCCAGTGTACCCCCACACGCTGGATATCCCAAACCACCTTCCCTTAGCCGGCTTTGTACCACCTCTAGAGAATATTTTTTCTCACCAGCTAAAGTTTTTTCACTTTATTTTGAAAGGCAATTTCACAACACTATTGTAAATGGAAAACCAGTACCACTTGCCGTAAATAATAGGCAATGAAAACAAAGTATTATTAAATTATGCTCTTTTCCAAGGTTTGCTCTTCATTTAGAAACCGGGTGGTGGGGGTGGGTTAACAGAGGTTAAAGAGAGTACTATAGACATAACAGCACTAACAGATTTTTTCTGGCCATAACTAGAGAGACAATAATTTTTCTCACTGTCAGTTGTTATTTATTGTTGTGCAGCATGTATTTCCTAAAATCATCCCGCATACCACCAGCCCTAGCTTGGGGAGCTATTGTACCAGGAGCCTCACACTGTGATTGAGAGAAATTCACAGCAGCACTGAGCTCAGAAAGTACTAAATGCAAGCCTAGAGCGAGTGCCATTTATCTCTATTCCTCTGCCGTTTGAGGGAACCTACCAAGAGTTCTAGAGAGATTAGTAGATATGCAACATAAAGTTCTGTCATAGCTCCAACATAAAAGCATATTTTGGGGGATAAGTATCATGTGGCCACTGAGAAAGCAGTGCAGGGCTGGGCTGCAGTAAAGGGGACCATGACGTTCAGGTGACAGGAGGTCATGGTCCCACTGTGCCCTGCAATGCACAGGCCAGGGACGGCTGGCTGGTCTCTGCACTGGAGCTACAATGAAAGGGCCTGGTAGATGCAGTCCTGCCTCAAGGAAGGGGTCACCTCAGCAGACCCAGACCAGTGGGCAGGGGGTACAGGGATGTGGGGTTGTTTCAAGGAAGAACTTTCACTGGAGCTGCTTAAGAGCTTACGCGCCACCCTTTAGTGAAGTGACCTTTATTCTTGGATGTGCTTGGGCAGAAGACCCCTGCAGCAGGCTCTTGAGGAGCCTCTGATTGTCTTGGTTGGCACCACAGGTGGCTCTAACTCACAAAAGTGCTGATCTACGAGGGACGGGACAAGATCAACGGGCAAAAGTCAACTGTATGTCTACATGCCAGCAACAAAGCTGAAAATGAAATTAAGAAAATTCCAGTTCCAGCAACATCAAAAGAATAAAATAGAAATAAAACAATAAATGAAGAGAAATTCCAGGTTCATGGATCAGAAGAGTCAATACTGTTAAGATGGCAATTCTTCCACCTTAGATGGAATGTATAGATTCAACACAACCCTTATCAAATTCCCAGATGACTTTTTTTTTCCAGAAAAAGATAATCTGATCCCAAGATTTATATGGCAATGTAAAGGACCCAGAAGAGCCAAAACAATTTTGAAGCATAACAAAATTCAAGGGCTTACCTTCCCAATTTTAGAACTTAGGATAAAGCTCTAGTAATAAAGGCAGTGTGGGATTTATTGGTGTATTGAGAGGTCAATGGAACAACTGAGAGTTCAGGAAAACACTCTTACATTTACAGTCAGCTGATTTTTGACAGAGGCAAATTCAGTGGGGGAAGGAGAGTCTTTTCAACAAGCGGTGCTGGGACAACTGGAAATCCACATGAAAAAGAGTGAACTTGTTGCTCACAAAAGTGAGCAAAGAGTATATCTGATGACTCGAATCTAAGTGCTAACCCTAGAATACTTTTTTTTTTTTAATGTTTAATTTTGAGACAGGCAGAGTATGAGTAGGAGAGGGGCAGAGAGAGAGGGAGACACAGAGTCTGAAGCAGGCTCCAGGCTCTGAGCTGTCAGCACAGAGACTGATGCAGGGTTTGAACCCATGAACCATGAGATCATGACCTAAGCTGAAGTTGGATGCTTAACCAACTGAGCCACCCAGGTGCCCCAACCCTACAATGCTTTCAAGAATAAAACATAAGGGAACCCTGTGATCTTAGGTGAGACAAAGATTACATGTGACATCAGAAGCAGGATCTAGAAGAGAAAATGATCAATAGGACTTCATCACAGTATAAAACTTCTGCCCTTCAAAAGACACTCTCAAGAAAATGAAAATGGAAGCCACCGCCTGGGAGAATGTGGTTACTGAGCATGTCTGATAAAGGACTTGTATCCAGAATATATAAAGAGCCCTTAGTGAGAAGACAACCAATTTAATAAACTAGCCAGAGATTTGAATAGACATTTCTCCAGAGAAACTGTGCAAACCATAAAACACCTAGAGCATGCAGAAGATGTACAATATCCCTGGTCATTAGAGACCTGCATATCCCCACCCCAATGAGATACCGCCTCACTCACACTCACTAGGACGGTAGGAATCGAAAAGCAGAGAGTAACCAGACTTGGCAAGGCTGAGGAGAGGATGAGACCCACCAACCCTGCTGCTAGGAAGGAGAAATGGCGTGGTGGCTGTAGAAAAGCTTGGCAGTTTGTGAAAACGTTAAATATAAACTTTTGTACAAGTCAGCAATTCCACTGATACGAGACACGAAAACATATACCACCCAAAAACCTAGAAGCAAATGTTCGCTGCAGCATTACTCATCGTAGCTGAAAACCAGAAAGAATCCCGATGTCCATTAACTGGTGACTAGATAAAATAAGGCACATCATGTACAACGGAACAGTACTCGACAGGAAGAAAGGGGGTGAGGTGCGACAGGTGCTACAACATGGTGAGTTTCAAAAATATTATACTAACCGACTGTATGATTCCATTTATATGAAATACCAGAAAAGGCGAGGGGGGTGCAAATCATTAAGACAGAAAGGTGAGCGATTGCCTGGGGCTGGGAGTGGGGGCAGAGACGGACTGCAAGGGGCCATGAGGGAATTTTTGGCGGTGATGGAAACGTTCTATAGCTGGGTTTATGGCAGCGATTGCACTAAAAGTTATTGACAGCTGTACCTAAGGGCTACCTTAAAGCAGACACATCAGAATTCTACAGTCAAGACAGGAGGCAGCACAGAAAAGAAACACTTTTGGGGTGCCTGGGTGGCTCAGCTGGTTAAGCATCTGACTTTGGCTCAGGCCATGATCTTGGGTTTCACAGGTTTGAGCCCGGTGTTGGGCTTTCTGCTGTCAGCACTCAGCCTGCTTCAGATTCTGTGTCTCACTCTCTCTCTGCCCCTCCCCTGCTCGCACTCTGTCTCTCTCTTCCTCAAAATAAATAAATGTTAAAAAGAAAAGAAACACTTTTTATCAAATGGAGCAGAATGACAATCTTGTGCCTGGTGGGACAGTGGGCGAGTCTCCCTTCCCCATTTTGTTATGTTTCATAACAGCAACAGAAGATACTTCTCTCTTCCCTTCTCTCAGCCCCAAATGAGCAGTGGTCTTGTGTCTTTGCACGCAGGAGGGGTTTCCTCATGTCCCTTATGCTGAGGCCAAGGTGGGGATGGAGGGACACTGCCTTCAGGCTCACTGGGCACACTGTCCCCGGGACAGAGCCAGAGCCTGGGAGTCTGTTCCCTTCCTCAGCCTTTTCTGTCCAACCCATGGCCAAGCCCCATGGCCAAGTTCAGCCTGTCTGGGTCACACAGCGCTAACTGGCATATCTTGTGTCTTCCTCCTACTCCCTTGGGTTCTTTCCTCACTGCTGACAGAGTGACTTTTCTAGAATATGGAGTGTATCATGCCACCCACTTAGAGTCCTCCAGTGGCTCCCCCAGGTTCTGGCCGAGCCCTGGTCCTGCACGTGCCTGATCTGTACCCCAAACCCCGAGCTCTCCGGGTCCCCACTCTGTGAGGCGAGCTCTGCGCAGCTGCTTAGCTCAGCTCTGCTGGTTCCCCTGCCGGAAACGGTCTCCTCATCTGCTGCTCAGGAAGGAGACGAGGCTCGTCCCCTGTGGTCCCTGGGCCTGGCACAGATAGGCTCACTGGGGTTTGTTCAGGTAGAAGGCCGTGAGGACTGGCAGCCGCCGGCCGCCTGGCCCACACGCACACACGCACAGGCCAGGCCAGAGCAGCCGCCGAACAGACCTTTCTTGGTCCCCAGGCTGGAGGTGCATGTGACTTAAGAGCACAGGTCGGGAGCCAGTCGGCCTGGGTTAGAATTCTGGCTCCACCATGAGCGGCCTCACCTCTGAGCCCCAGGGAGGATCTGCAACAGGGACAAGAAGTCATGTGTCGGCAAAGCCGGGGCAACTAGTGTCCCTAACGCCGGGCCAGGACGCGCCGAGTACACGTTGGGTGTTGTGGCTCCCAGCTGTCTAAGCTCCTTCCCCCTCCCGTTGGCTTCACAAAGCAGAAATATTGGTGTATTTCTAACTTCTTTCTTGCTGCATTAATATTCAACAAGTAACACAGAGCAGGAGGTGAAGGGACGACAGGGAGATCAGTGGGTTACTTTGGGGTGGTGGTGTCTGTCGCATGAGTTCCGGGGGGAAGTCTAATGGCAGGGGACCGGCCAGGACTGAGCAAGTTCAAGAACTGACGGGATGAAGAGAGCAGGAGCCCTTCTCATGGGCCCGCCCAGAGCATCTTCCTGCCATGGACTCCTGCTCAGCCTCACTGCTCCTTCGGGAGGAGGTCTCGCTCCCTCCTGCTGCTCCTTCGGATATACACATCCCTCCTCCCGGGTCACTGTCTCTGCAAATCACGCCCCCCTGGAAGTTTCGGGAGCACAGGCTCACCAAGCCGGAAAAGTGCTCTGGCCCAGCTGCCCTGCCCACCCTCCCTCCCCTTGGTGCACCTCACAGAGCCCAAAGACTCGCTTGTGTTTGTGTCTGGGTCTCTAACAGACATTAGCAGTGTTCAGGGGCAGGGACTAGGTGAACTCAGTGTGGTGTCCTCTGTATGGTAGTCAGATTTCTAAAATGGCCCCAATGATTCGCACCTCCCAA